ATGAACATAAACAACAACACGAGTAGATCAAGAATCTAACCTTAGAACATGGATCTAACAGTTCGATCTCTAGGGATCAAGCTTGGAAATCTACCCTCCCTCAAGAACTCATCTTCCTCTCCTAAAGCTTCTTTCTCCTCTTCAAAAACAAGGATATAAGAAATGATAGGTTTCTCTCTCTGCTGGCTGATTTTACACTCAGCTCGGGCACGTGGCAACGACTGGTTGATTCTCCTTAAAAAGGTGATAGATTGACAAGACATGAGTAAGACAAAGCGTATCTAACAAGCTACCCAGCAAGGCACTCCGGCAAGTGATGACACCGGCTAAGGACAAAGCTTCAGCAACTAAGGTGACAATGACCTCGGCTAGGAAGGACAACACTTGACTAAACTGTGCCACACCTTGACCTAGATGTGCCACACCTCGGTCTAGGTCATACCACTCCAGGACAAGATCACTTAGGTGCAAAGGTAACATCTCGGCCTAGATAATACACATCTCGGCCTTGGTGATGAACACCTTGGCCTAGATAATGACATCTTAGTCAATATGTCAGGGCGAAGGTGGAGGCCAAACAAAGTGGTTCCAAGATAATTCTAGACTGAAGATGACCTCGGCTTGGAATGTTCTAGGCTTAACATAACTTAGGCTTGAGACACCAAGGAAGGAACGAAGCATGCACACAACACTTAAACAAATCAAATAAGCACAAAATAAGGCAAGATTCATGAATGCAAACTTAACAAGACCACATGATGTGAATGCACATGAACATGACTAAGCCATAAACGTGGGTTGTTACATTTATTTTCCAATTAATTTGGAAATAAAATAAAATTTTATTTAACCAAATTAATTCCACACAGAAAATTAAATTTCTATAACACATCAATAATTAAAATACTAAAACAGAATTTTAATTAATGAAAATCCAGAAAATAATTTTTAAAAAATCCAAAATTAATTTCTGAAAAAATTTCACAAAAATATATTCTGAATTGTTAATGACACCAGTATCGTACTACTAGTTGTCAAAGAAAATAGACAGTATATTACTACTATCTGTCAAATAACATATAATCACTATTTGTTTTTCCAACCAGAATATTATTTTATAAATCCATAGAAAATAATTTTCTTAAACGAAGAAAGAGAAGAGGAAACAAACGAAAAATTCTATAAACAGAATAATTCGATTCTATCTTAAGATTGTTGGAAAAATCTTCTGTGTAAATAAAATAAATTGAAACTAATTCAAACAAAGTAAATAAATAACATACCGAATTTATTTATCGAACTGAATCAAAAATAAAAGACTAAGCCGAGTGTGTGACACTATATCCTTAAGACAGATTCGCCCCACTACAGTGCTTACGGTTGAGTGACATCTATCTCCCAAGATACAATGATTTTCAAAAACTTGTAGTAGCACTCCACACAAATTTTTACGGCAAACCAAACCTTGTGTTCTATACTCTCTTAATATTATTGTAAAATTAATAAATGACGAGCAAATGTAGTAGAGCAAAACACTACAAGAAAAAGCATTTTTGCCGACCACTTTTAGCTACCAAAACTAATTTAGTCGCCAAAAGTCACGGAATTGGCTACCAAAAATAATATTAGTCGGCAAAAGTCAACTTTTTAGCTACCAATTTTTTTTAGTAGGGGAATGTTGATTATTGGCTACTAAAAAAAATTTAGTAGCTAAAGATATTACAATTGGCGACTAAAAAAATTTTTAGTAGCTAAACATATGACAATTGGCGATTAAATAAAAATTTAGTAGCCGTAGAGGTACCTTTAGCAACTAAATTGTTTGGTAGCCGAATGAAAATAAAAAAATTAATTTTTAATCTTTGCCGACCAAAATTTTGGTCGCCAAATGTTAACTTTCGGCGAAAAAATTGCTTTTAGTCGCCAAAGACCTACCTTTAGCTACTAAATTGTTTGGTAGCCGAATGAAAATAAACAAATTAATTTTCAATATTTGCCGACCAAGATTTTGGTCGCCAAATGTTAACTTTCGGCGACAAAATTCCTTGTAGTCGCCAAAGACCTACCTTTGGCTACTAAATTATTTGGCAGCCGAATGAAAATAAAAAAATCAATTTTTACTTACATAGCTCTTAGATTAATTAGTATGTTGCAATTAATGCCAAATAGGTAATCAAAAGTTTTGGCTACCAATAATTTAGTAGCAAAAACATAACCCAAAACGTTTTTGCCACCAAGTAATTAGTAGCTAAAAAATTTGAGAATGAGAGAAATAAACTATTGGCTACTAAATTTTTTAGTCACAGAAAAAAGGGTATCATTTGGCGACTAAAACTTTTGGTGGCAAAAAGTAAAGAAATGAATCTTAACAGGTTTTTGGCTACGAACAGTTTTAGTCGGCAAAAGTCACCACGCCTAAGGTAGAACTTTTAGTGACTAAATGGTTAGTAGCCAAAAGTTTAATAAAATGAAAAATAATATTTTTGGCGACTAAATTCTTTAGTCCCTAAATGTAGTAATGTTGTGACTAAAACTTATTCCCGACAAAAAGTTTTAGTCGCTGAAAATTTAATTTATTTTATTTGAACACTTTTGGCGACTAAATATTTAGTCGCCAAAATATACCTTTCCCGACTACTCAGAGTTTGGTAGCCGAATGTTCACTTTTGGCGACTAACCAGAGTTTAGTAGCCAAAACGTTCACTTTCAGCGACCAAAAATAGTTTAGTCGCCAATACTATCACCGACAGGCTATAGGCGACGACTTTGGCGACAAAAAATATTAGTCACTAATTTGTTTCGGCGACCAAAAATGGGGCTTTTGGCGACCAATATTTTGATCGCCAAAAGTGGCAACCAAATATCATTGTCGTTAAAAATGTCATTATTTTGTTTTTTGCGACCAAATTGGGACATTTTATGACGAAATATTAGTGACCAAATGTTTAGTCTTGTAAAATTAAACATTTTGTGACAATATAAAATTGGTCGCTAATTGTCATTTTTAGTGACATTTTCAAAAATTTGTCGCTAAAGACTTCCTAGGTGCACTTTTAGTAACTGTTTTAGTGACGGAATTAATTTTGTCACCAAAACTATTTAGAGACTAAAATAATAGTTTTAGGGACCAAAATAATTGGTCGTCAAAAGTCTTATATGTTGTAGCGAGAAACATTTGTATGCCCTTGATTGTTAAGTGTAGTTATATCTCCCGGTTAAATTGACATAATGTTCCTAAGTATGGAGGAGAGTTTAAATTGATCTTTGCAGTATTTTCAAGCCAGCACTCAAACCAGCTCTATTAACTATTATAACAGATTTTTTCTCAGAATATGAGTGTTCCATTTGATTTTTATCTATCTATGATATGGTCACCAGACTCACCACATGCTAGTCCTCATGGCATCACCACTATTGGGGAAAATTTCTGGAATGAAAGGAATGGGGAAAAGCAATGGAGTTGGTAACTGGAATGTAATAACAACACTTACAGAATTGTTACAAATTCAGTTGTTCACAAATAATCTGAAAGTTTGCCCTTTTGTTAGTGTCCATGTGACCATGTCACATGTGAATCATTTAGGATTCTTTTAATTCTATATGGAATTGAAGACTTCCTTTTCCCCTGACTGAATGGTGTTTTGTTGGCCAGTACATGATCTGAAGGAGTTTTCTTGCAAATTAATTAACTTGATACCTCAAGTCTAATGCTAATGTGTTGTTTTTTTTTTAAACTATAACCCTAAGGCATTTATTACGTAAACCTTAGAAGAATTGAAGGTTACTTTATTGGCTGAATTGTTTTTTTCCTCTGATGGTTGGAACAGCGTTATATGTAGCTGGAGAAGTAGTGGAGGTTGGATCTGGATTCGAGAATTTTAAAGATGGCGACAAAGTTGTAACCATGCTTATTCATGCTGTAAGTGTCATTTATGCCATATTGTGTTCACCTTTCTATTTACTATATTTACTATGTGTCCCTTCACCATTGGTCAACCCGCATAGGCAAACTTGTAGTTTAAAAGCTTTACATGATTACAACTTGTTTCATGAGGAGAAGTTAACATCATGCTAAGACAGTGATAGACGGGAAGCTTAAGACAGTAATAGACTCAAATATCCTCTGAGTAAGGCTCAAGATGCTTGGGCTAAGATCATGGATGGTGATGCTGAAGGGAAAATCATAGTGGAGCTAGCCTTGAACTATCATAATACTAGAAGTGACAAGTACACGTGATTGGTGCGCATATGATCATTTTGTTTTAGAAAAATAAGATTGTAAATTGTATGAAATAATGATATAAATATGGAATTACTTAAGGTAGGGTTTTTTTTTTTTTTTTTTTTTTTTTTTTTTTTTTTTTTGGGGGGGGTCTTGCTTACCCTTAG